GGAGATATCCTCCACCTCAGTGGGAGAACTCTCCATTCTATTCTATGGCCCCTAGAATATAATGGAGAGATCTGCAGAGAGAAGGGGTTTAAAGTTTAAACCCTTTCTGTCTTCACTCCCCCCCCCACCTTGGCAGGCCAGCTGGGGAAGCAAAAAACGTGTGTGTGTGTTTTCAAAAGCCTCCCCTTTCCCAGGCAGCTTACAAAGGGGGGGGGGGGGGGAGTGAAGAGAGAAGGGTTTTAAAGTTTAACCCCCTTCTCTCTGCAGATCTCTCCATTCTATTCTATGGCCCATAGATTAGAATGGAGAGATCATGCCCCCCCCCCCCCCGCCCCCCTTGGCAAGCCAGCTGGGGAAGCAATAAACGTGTGTGTGTGTGTGTCTTCAAAAGCCTCTCCTTTCTCAGCCAGCCTGCCAAGGCGAGCGGGGGTGGGGTGGGGGGAGCAGCGGCGCGATCTCTCCATTCTATTCTGTGGGATCTGCAGAGAGAAGGGGTTTAAACTTTAAAACGCTTCTCTCTTCGCTTCGCTTGGTAGGCCGGCTAGAGAAGCAAAAAGGGGCGGGGGTCTTCAAAAGCCTTCCCTTTCCCAGCCGGCCTGCTAAGGCGGGCTGGGGGTGGGGAAGCGAAGAGAGAAGGGGTTTAAAGTTTAAACCCCTTCTCTCTAGAATTGCACCGCAGCTGGGGAAGGGAAGGGGAGGCTTTTGAAGATACCTCCCCCCTTTTTGCTTCCCCTTCTGACATCACGTCCGGACTCTAATCTGGGAGAACTGGGTTTGATTCCCCACTCCTCCACTTGCACCCTACTGGATGACCATGGGCAAGCCGTAGTTCTGATAAGAGCTGTTCTTGAAAAAGAGCAGTTTCTGTCAAGAGCTCTCTCAGCCCCACCTACCTCACAGGGTGTCTGTTGTGGGGAGGGGAAGGGAAAGGACTTTGTAAGCTGCTCTGAGACACCTTTGGGTAGTGAAGGGCGGGGTATAAATCCAACCTCTTCTCTTCTTCTCCTCTTTAAAACCTATTAAGGTTAATCTGTTTTCACCTTTCTGTTCCCTGCCTGCGAGTGAGCAAGGTAACACAATAAAGCAATTTTGGCTTATTCAGCAAAAACTAGAAAAACTGCACCAAAGTCCTTCCGAAATAGCAAACACCCTTTTTAAAAGATAAAAATATAGTTGACATACCTACTTCTCTTTTTCAACTGATTACGAACTCTCAGTTTTATGAGAACATTGATACAGGGACAGAGGTCCCTTTACCTGTGAAGCCTGAAGTGATAGTATATAAACCTAATGATAATGGTTGTGTTGTATACAAACAAGGTATTACTACAGAGATGACGCAAGATTGACTCTATGGATCTCAAGTGAAGGTATTCTCCTGGAATAAAGCTGGTTGAATTTCTAAAGCCCAGACACCTGCTGTTGAATTTTTTTAAAAAAAATAATCCATGTTATATTATTCCAGGAAACTTGGTTGATCAATGAAATCTGTTTTAACATGATGTGCAGCATTTTCAGTTAAGACTCAAGTAGGCAATAATGGAAGGTGCCCCAAAGTAGGTCTGGTTTGTTTATTTTCTAACAGATTACAATGTACTTTAATAGAATTGGAGCTTTCTTTATTAGCCTTAGCTGTATATACAAAATTTAGAAATGATTCTGTTATATCAGTTTATCTGCCACCTGTTAAAGATAAAAATACCCTTCTGAGTAACTGGAGGAAGCAATGGGATTTAGTTGAAAGATTAGTAACATCCTACCCCAGAGCTAAATTATTAATTGCTGATGATTTCAATGCTAGAATTGGACCTAGCGATGAACAATTATTGACAGCCAGAGGGATGATTGGGTCTGAAATGAAAGAGATAAGGTATTTTTATGGTTATAGTAGGGAATCTCTGGATATGAAGACAAGTGCAGCAGGGCTGAGTTGGTGCCATCTTGGTGCCATCACACCCTTGGTTAATAGTCCCTTATAGTGCTCTTGGTTAAACAGACATTTGGGTTCCTCACACTATTATCTCCTCCTCAGCCATTTCCCCTTCTTCCTTAGTGGAAGAACTCTTTGACTCCACTAAGTCCCCATAGGAGAAGGCTGGGTCATTGTGAAAAGGGTGGGGTCCATACACTGCTTTTTTTGGTGTGTGCCACCTTAGTCAGGAAGGGCTGAATCCCTGCAACCTGCCTCCTATCTGAGCAATCCTCCTGTTTCCCCATCTAAACAATCGGGGGTGTATGTGTGATCTAGAGGAGGACCTTGAACAATATATTTTCCTGCTCCCTCATAAGAATGACCGGACTTCCTCCAACAATGCAAGGCGAAGCTAGCTTGCTATCTCCATGGGGCATCCAGAAAATGGGGACTGAGAGGAAAGGAAGACATCTCTACCTTGCTCTGTGATAGTGTTCTGTCTCTCTGACTGCTCCATCGTGGCCCTGAGCACCGTACCCAAGTGTCCGCCATTTTTACTGGCGTGGAGGATCTTCTGGCTGCTGCTGTTGAGACATCCTCTAAGGCGCAGTTGAATTGTGAGGCATGCTCCTCTTATCGCCTCTGCTCACCTGCCATTAGCCGCTGTTCTGCAGGTTTGCGCCTGCTAGATGATGCTGGGGACTAGTCCCTTCCTCCCATTTTTCAGAGGACAGGGAGGTCCCCATTCTCCTTGGAAATGAATGCTTTGTTGAAGTTCTCCATGGTATCTCCACTGCCTCAGCCACTCTACCCTCCCGGGGGGGGGGTGTAGGCCAAAAAAAGGAATTGAGGGACAGAATAAAGAAATGAGAAGAAGTGTAGAAACAGGAGCATTAGTTGTTGTAGGAGCCTTGCTAAGCAGCTCCCGCAAAAGCCATCTCTCCTTAGCAAGCCAAGAAATGAACTGAAGATATGGGTGACTTTGCCCACAAGACAGGAACTCTGGAAGAATAACCCATGTCAAGATGCCCTCTCCCTCAGAGCAAGAAATTATCATGTACTATAAGTAATAAAGTGCTAGTTTAAGGCACTTCCCAAGTACTGAGTTCTTAGTCTTAGCATTGGAAAACCATTTTGGATAGGATCCAGAGAACTGTGTGCAGAGCTCTGCCTGCAGGGGGAGATAAGTGAAAATCACACACACATACCGCACAAGCACTTCTAGTCATGTGAGGTGTGCATCCAAACCACTGTGTTTGTTACTGCAGCTAATAAAGAAATTAAGAGCATAAGCTATACAACTGATAGGCCTGAATCTAAAAATCCAGCTGCACAGAGGAAAGAGCTTCTACTGATGTGGGGGGGGGGGTGTCACTTGCTTTCTCCCCACTTGCAATCCCCTCTGCCCTGAAAAGCCATTTCAGAGGGTTTGAAACCTTCTAGGGCATGGGAGCTGTAAACAGGCATGTGGAGAGACTCAATAGCACATGCCCCAAAGTGCCTTGTATCTTTGGATACTGATTGTGATGTTTTGCCCTTTCTTAATTCCTTGTTTTGCAATCGAAGTACTGCGTTCTTCCAGAAATATTTTTATATTGACAGCTATGTATAAAATTTCTAAGATGAATTCACACTCTGACATCATTTCAAGGCTGTTTAGATTGCTTATCCAGTGGTCTTCAACCTATGGGTCACAAATATTGGGTGGATTACAAAGCCTTGACACCAGTGAGGCTATACCTCTGGGTTCTCCTACTCCTGTTGTGTGACTGTGCTGTCGTGTGCTTGAAGTTCCAGTGGGCTCCATGCTGCTGCCTGGGAGTTAAACATGGGTCCTAGGGCTGGAAAGGTTGAAGATGTGATATATAAACTCCTGGCATATGCTGTCAGCATGTGCAGGCTCTCAATGTCTTTTGGAGATTATGTATATTGATGACAGAATATATATAAAGTGAGAGCAATGTACAAATTTCTGACACATGCACATCCTATGATGCAACCTGAAGAATAAGTATATTGTCCAGGGAAGATGCAATATCCTTCTTCATGGTGCTGTTACATGCACATTCTCCATACAGTCTGGTAAAAGCACAGAGTGGACTATGTTCATGCACATTTTCCTATCATCTCAAGTTAACTCCAACATATACCATTAAGTGAGTAACAATGCAATCCTATGCAGAAATACTCTGCTGCAAAGAACTGCACTGTAATTCAACTGATTGAAAATTGTATTGCTTTATTAATGTAGCTAACTAATTCACTCAAAAATATTATGAAAACAAGGTTCAAGTTAAAGCATCTGCTATAACTAAGAGACAGTCAAGTCATTTAAAAGTACTTGTTTGTAGCACCGTTATGATGTGTTTGGAGGAAAAGAGATTTCCCTTGTAATCCAAGATCTCTAGGATGTTAAGTAAGTGTTTATAAAATCTACCCCTTGGAGGTTTCCACCTGCGTAGGAAAAGCTGCAGCTGCCTATCTGAATCTGTGCAGTAGCAAATTAAAATATTTTTAGAATATTTTTGTACTTTTATTGTTCTTAGTCAGTTACCTATACAAAAGATGGCATTATAAAATGTTACAAAAATAACAGCCCCTGAGGAAAAGTCATACAAGCAGGTTCTACAGCCATCAACATATATACAGCCTCCTCTCCTGTAAGTTTTGAAGCTGGGATGCAAAGCCACAAACACAGACAGCACCACTCTGTCTTATAAACTGTTTGCATCAAGTCTAGAGCCTTTCCAGGAACAGGAACAAAGAGGGGAAAACTAACTCTGGGCTATTGTCTGTCTTTTTTCCTCCATGAGTGACAGTCAGTTTAGTGCAACCTTCTCAAATAAGCCTAAAGAATTTACACATTCCAATGTCACTATACAAGGAACTTCGGGGAATAGTCACTTCACTGTGTAAGTCTAATTTATAACATAAAACCAGGTCTTCCTTATTTGTAAAAGACGTGCATTTTCTTCCTAGAAATAATCTTTGCTGAGATAGGAATTAATGAAATTCAAATCAGAAAGGACATGGTTGGCAATACAAAGCTGTAATTAACAATTCAGGATTTAGTTAAGCAGAGTCTTACCATTTGCTGCAGCAAGGAAGGATTTGTTGCTACCCCGTGCTTTATTGGTAAGGTCTTCTGTTATATCCATATGCCGATAAATTTCTTCACGCATTTCTTCCAGCGTTTTGCAGAGATCAATTTCCCAGTAGTCTTTGTCAAGGCATTCAATTAATTCCGCCAGCTGGACTCTTGTGCTATAGTACCAAATTTTCTTATCTCTTTCACATTCTGAATCCTCCTCTCTGTGACAGTATCAGAATAATGGTTTATGAGAAAAGATTAGGATAAATGATATATAGCTATGCTATTTTGCAAAATAAACACAAAGAATAACAGCTTAATATCTAAGGGTTTGCTGTAAGCCAGCATGCTTTTTCAACTCACCCAAACCAAGTAATCAAACCACTAAAAAGGCCATTATTAAGAATCACCGCTAAAACATTAACATGATTTCCAAAATTGATGGGTATGATCATATGACCTGCTACATTATTTTAGAACTTCCTTCCTGCCAACCTAGCAGTTCGAAAGCAAGAAATTGCAAGTAGATAAATAGGTACCGCTTCAGTGGGAAGGTAACAGCATTCCATGCGCCTTGGTGTTTAGTCATGACCACGGAAACGTCTTCGGACAGTGCTGGCTCTTCGGCTTTGAAACGGAGATGAGCACCGCAACCCTAGAGTCGGATTCGACTGGCTTTCGAGCAAGGGAACCTTTACCTTTACCTTACCACAGATGTATCTGATGAAGTGTGCATGCATGTAAAAGCTTATACCCAGAATTAAACCTTATTGGTCTTAAAAGGTGCCACTGGACTCAAGATTTGTTCTACTGCTTCAGACCAACACGGCTACCCACCTGAATCTACCTTCTTTCCATATTCCTCACTTAAATGAAAAGAGTGTCTTCTTATACTATACCCTACATCCCTATTCAAAACTAATTTCAGCAAAGATGTTAAAAACATGTAAGTGTTCATGATGATTAGTTCCCTGATCAGAGAAGCAGACTGCCTAAACTAGTGGTTCTGTTGCTTCTCTCCTAAAAAAACCTAAGCATTTCTAAGAAAACTGTACAAAAAAATAGGTGTTTTTTTAACCACTCAGTGCTTTGTTAGGCTTTAAAGCACAACTGTTCATAATAGAAGGAATACATCTACCCTTAGAATAAGGTTGCTTACCAACACCGAGTAACGTGTTCTATGACAGACAATTCAATTAATTTCTTAATTTTCCACAAAATATTAGATTGACTAAAAATGTGGGAAATATCAGCAGAAGGGACACAGGCATTATGTGAGAGACCTAAAAATTGGGACGGCCTTGGTGGTCATTACTGACTCTACCACTTCTCCATCTCAAGGAAAGGTGGGGTTTTTGAGGTAAGGCTGACCTGTGAAAGCACTCAGGGTACAGTGATGAATCTTTCATTTTGCGTTGCAGCAGACACCATAAATGTGCTTGCAGACTGTAGAATAAACAATATGGGTTTGGATCCAGTGGTTTGTCAATGCTTTTCCAACCTCTCAGCAACCATTTCTGAATCTAGAAAAGTGAATTCCCATGTTGGTGAGACACATGTGGTGTAACAGCCATGCAGGCTGGTGAGCTACAGCGAGGAAGGGAAGGGAGCAAAATTCACTTTTCCTGGCTTTTCCAAAAGTAGACCTCTGCTGACTAAAGAGGCAAGAGTGAGTAAATTTGGTCCCTTCCCCTTCTCACGCCAAATAATTTTCCTAACTTCAATTCTGCATTGCACCCTACAAGTTATCTGCACTATATAGAATGTTACTTTCTCTCCTATATGCAAGGTTTTGCATTAGTCCATGCTTATATGGGTCAAATTTAGGATTTTTCCAGTCCAAGCCATTCTTATTTGGCAGCTAAGATTGCAGGGTAATAAAGTTCAGTCAGAATGTTGTACGTTTGGTCCCTAAAAAACTGCCAGTTGACCACAGAGCTCAAAAAGTTGGACTGCAGTACTACCTAGGTTGGAGTGAAATCACTGGCTTGGATCCAATGCACTAAACACTGCAGAGTTCATAAAAGGTACTGTCACCAGCTTTGCACCCTCCCCTCACCAAAGAGGGTACCGCCTTGCACCCTCCTCAAAGTTGCTCCTGGAGGATCAGGGAATCCTTGGGACTGGCAGATGATGATGCACTGGGGCAAGGAGGAACTGACAGAAATCCCCATCTCCTGGTTATATGCAAGTGGAGGAAAGTGGAGAAACAGCAGCTGGTGGTTTACCCTTCGCACAGCAGCCCTTTGAAGCCCATCTTATACCATCCCCAGGAGTCCTCAACCCTCAGGGGGAGTTTTGTAGGGCACAGGGAGCTGCTGAGAGAAAGGAAAAGTAGAAAAGACCCCTTCTTCAATCTGTCATATTTGCAGTTGATTAGATTAACGTAATTATAAATCTTCTGCCAATGACATATGGTAGTGGAAAGTGCTGTAAAGTTTCAGCCAGCTTATGGCATACATGGGTAATTTTTAAAACTCTCCGGTAGCCTCTGAGGTCATGCTGGTTAAATCTTCTGTTTCCTGCGCTGTCAAGTTACAGCTGACTTATGGTGACCCCATAGGGTTTTCAAGGCAAGAGATGTTTAGAAGAAGAAGAGATTAGATTTATACCCCACCCTTCACTCAGAGTCTCACAGAGGCTTACAATCTCCTTCCCTTCCTCTTCCCACAACAGACACCCTGTAAGATAGCTGGGGCTGAGTGTTCCAAGATCACTGCTCCTGAGAGAACAGCTCTGCAAGAACTGTGATCATAGTTCTATCAGAGCTGTTCATCAATCTGTCAGAGCTGTTTTTGAAAGCAGTTCTTGAAAGAGCTGTCTCAGCCCCACCTACCTCACAGGGTGTCTGTTGTAGGGAGGGGAAAGGAAAGCAGTTTGTAAGCCACTCAGAGACTCTGAGTGATGGCTGGGGTATAAATCCAATCTCCTCCTCATCTTCTTGATTGCCACTCTGGGGACAGGAAGGAAATTTCTTCCAGGCCACATTGGTTCACAAATCCTGGAGAATTTTTGCCTTCCTCTGGGCAGGGGTCCCTGGGGGAGTACAGGAGAGGGGTTAGCTGTGAATTTCCTGCATTGTACTAGATGACTGTTGGGAGTCCCTTCCAGCTCTAGGTTTCCTAGGACTTGAAATGGATGAGACTGTTGAGGGTAGGAAATGCAGGAAAGATTCACAACCATCAGTGCCCTCCCCAGACAGATCATGGGATCCAATCCTATTGGTTAACACTATATGTAGTATATTGTCTTTTGTTTTAAAAATTATGTGAAAGTTCTACCTATGATATCCACACATTAAAATAAAGCTACTCAACAATGTGATGCACCAAGTAGCTGACCAGAAGTCTGACAAAATGCTTCTGAAAATAATTTTTACAGATCCTGTTGTGGAGGCATTGGATCCTCAATCATCTCCATGTAGGTGCTTCATTCTTTTTTGAGTGCAGGGACCTCAATGGATTCAAGAAAATACACAACCTTGTAAAGTTTTAGATTTTTAAAAAGAATGGAACCAGGTAATTACAGGCCAGTCAGCCTAATGTCCGAGACTGAGAGCAAAAAAGATGTTGGGGTTGTAGTAAACAGCTCAATGAATGTGCCAACCTCATGTGCTACAGTGGTAAAAAAAGCAAACTCTATGTTGGGTATCATTAGGAAAGGGATTGAAAGTAAAATAGCTGATATTATAATACCTGTGTATAGATCTATGGTGTGGCTTCATTTGAAATACTGTGTGCAGTTCTGATTACCAGATCTCGAAAAGGACATTGCAGAGTTTGCAAAAGTACAGAAAAGGGCAACTAAGACAATTAGGGGGTTGGAGCACCTTCTCTATGATGAAAAACTGAAGAGTTTGGGACTTTACAGTTTAGAAAAGAGACAACGGGGGGGGGGGAGATGACCAAGGTTTATAAAATTACGCATGGGTGGAATTGACAAAGAATTTTTTCTCTTTCTCCCAAAATACTAAAACTCAAAGGCATCCGATGAAGCTGATGGGCAGTAGATTCAGGATGGACAAAAGGAAATACTTATTTACACAGCAAGTGATTAAAATGTAAAATTTGCTGCCAGAGGATGCAGTGATGGCCACAGGAATAGACAGCTTTAAAAGGGGATTAGACTGATTAACAGAGGACAGGTTACTAGCTATGGTGACAAAGGATCCTTTATGTTCAGAGGCAGTAAACCTCTGAATATCAGTGCTAGTAGGCAACGTCAGGGGAAGGCTTTGGCATCTATGTACTGATGCTGGACCTCCAGAGAAACTGGTTGGCCACTGTGTGAGACAGGATGTGGAACTATATGGACCACTGGTCTGATCCAGCAGGGCTTTTCTTATGTTCTTATGCTAATATCACTGCATAACTGATGTGACATGGAATAGTCTCATCTCTGGCCAGTCTCTTGAAACTTCCACTTGCCCAAGACCCTAATAATTTCCTGGGGGAAAGTAACTTAGGCTGGCTGATATGTGTATCTCCCAGCCTGAATCCTCACCATTGACACAGGATAATATAATC